GAAGCAGAAAATATCCTGTCGGTTGGTAAAAGTAGGCTTCAAATGGATTTTAAACTCTTACAATGCTTTGTATATTTAGCCCCAAATGGTTTTTTTATCCCCAAATATTCCTCCGTATATGTTTAACACATCTCCAAGGAGCTACTTGCTTTAGTAATTGTGTAAATTCTAGAATAAAATCCAAGTTTTAATCCATTTGTTCTAAAATTCCTTCTAATGCCTCATGTGACCTTTTGGTTTCTGATATTACGAGTATTTTCATTTGTGTAGCAATTACCTTTATCGGTGTGTAAAACAGTCTTGGCCTGTATTATCTTTGATTCTTCTAAGAATCCCTAGCGGTAGACTGGTTTGCTACTGTCTTTAACTGCCACCTTTCAGAAATGGAACCAAGTGCAAGCTTCAGTCCAGCCAGGGCATGCTTGCCTCTATGTAAACGTAACCATACATTTCATCCGTGTAGCAGCCAAATCTTACAGCACTGTTGGCCTCATACATAGAACAAACAAGCGTTCTGACCCGTTTTCATGCATATAAATGTAACAAACCAAGCCAGGTAATTTACTAGCACTCCTGTGCGGGTGGTTGGGAGTTTGGGCCATTATTAATCTTTGTAGTCTAACTTCTCAGAAATTCCTGAACCCATTTTCCCGAAGTAAAAGGGGCTTGCTCATTTTATTATTTGGAAGATGTTTAGGTTCCAGGTGTTTAAAAACATGTGAACTTAAAATAGTTGAATGTTTCATTATCTCTCAGGCTGTTCCATTATTTGTCACGAGTTGCAAAATCAACAGGCCCTGATACCTGCCTTCAAGGAACTCTGCTCTAGCAGAGGAGATAGACATAGAACGGAAGTAGCTATACAGCTACCTACGAATTTTTTCTCTCACTCACATCACGGGATCCTGGTGTGTAGCCAGCCCATTGGTTGAGGATCTGGTCTTTATCTGGAGCTGCACGGCCACCCTTGTTCATTGCGGCACAGTGCATGTGAGTGCATGGCTGTCGGCTTCTGCCTCACATGGCCACAGCGTGTCAGTCACAGCATCGGGACCACAGATGTTTTTAGTTCTGTTTCAGTTGGCTTGTGGCCTCTGGGTTTATTATCTCATGGATCTTTGCTCTTGTGCCCACCAAGGGCCAGCAGTGAAAGCCCATGTGTAGAGGCATGAGACATGCCCCCGAGGCCAGATGAATGTGCAGCTCAGGGCCTTTGATCATTTAAAATGCAGAGGCACCTGGACAGTGGGCTTTCACCTTCATGCCAGCCGTCTGGCCAAGGATCCCAGCAGTGGTTTGTACTGACTTGGGTTTTTCAAGAGTCTACATTTTGGTGGTGTATATATGATGCGTTTTAATTGAGTAATGGTTTTTAATAGTTGTCTCCTACACTACTACCCCAGATTTTTATGTCAGCTTCTGCTTTGGTCCTCAGAGTGAAGCCTGGCTTAGGAAGCTTAGTCATACCTCATCGATTTGTGTTTCATCTGGAGAGTTGAATCGCTGTGTAAGAAACACACACACACACACAGCAAAACCTAGATGAAGCGAGGTGAAAATTGAATTTGAGAGGAGAGACAGGATGTCAACATCTCCTCTAACATTCAGATTTTGGGCCCTGAGTGACAGGGCTAACAAGTCAGACTTCTACATTTGTAATTAAAAGAAGCACATGTTCTTCTGTGGGGAGGGGGGGCAGGTTATATTAAATTCAGAAAAGTAGAAAAAAAATCACCCTGAATCTCACCACTCTGAGATGATCACTGTTAATTAACATTTGAGTCTCTTTTCAGTTTCTTTTAAAGAGTTGAGGTCATACTGCATGGATAATTTTATAGCTTGTTCTTTATCCTTAGCATATAATAGGTGAACCTTTTTTAAAAAATTGATTTGAGGCAAATTAGTTGCCTAGCAAAATGGAAAGTAGATTAGTCTCTGTAGCCCTCTCTGTAGACCTCTTCACCTTTTGTGAGTGGCGCTTAGGTCATTCCAAGTGTCAAGCCCACCACTGAGCGGGCCCTGGCCGCGCACAGACAGACGTCCCACTGCCTTGCAGCGTAGTGGCTACTCTCCCCTCAGTGGGAGCCATGCTCAGGCTGTCCCAGGTTTCTCCAAAGGAGGACCAGCAAGAAAACCCATGGGGACAGACTGCTGGCAGAGAGCTCCTGGGCCCTCTAGTGGTTGTCAAGCTATGTGTCCCTCCTGGTGGCCAGCTCCAAGTTGGTCCAAAGCCGCCTTGCTCTCAGGTCCTGCTTTTGCCTTGAATCTTCGTTCCTTTTAGGGAAATGCCTCCGGGTCACGAACTGTTACGCGTGAACTTGCAGAAGTGGCAAGTCACATATTCAGACTAAGTCCTTTTTTAAAATTTTATTAGGGGCTCATACAACTCATCACAATCCATACATAATTGTGTAAAGCACATTTGTACATTCATTGCCCTCATCATTCTCAAAACATTTCCTCTCCACCTAAGCCCCTGGCATCAACTCCTCATTTCCCTCACCCTCCCCCTCCCCCCTCCCTCATGAACCCTTGATAATTTATAAATTATTATTTTGTCATATTTTGCACTGTCCGACATCTCCCTTCACCCACTTTTCTGTTGTCTGTTCCCCAGGGATGAGGTTATATGTAGATCTTTGTAATCGGTTCCCCCTTTCCAACCCACCCTCTTTCAACCTTCCCGGTATCGCCGTTCGCACCACTGGTCCTGAAGGGATCATCAGACTAAGTTCTGTGACCATTTCAAATGGCAGATGCCTAGGGCAAGGCGTGGTGGGGTCGGTGTCTTTTCTACTAAGTGCATGGCACCGCAGGAGGAGAGCTGAGGCTTCTAGCTGTGAGACGACCAGACCACGGCTCCCTCCTCGGGGAGAGCAGCCCCTAACCACCCTGCAAGGCAGCGCTGCCTCTGTCTGCAGGCAAGGCCGCACAGCCGTGTGCCGGAGAACAGAAATGACACAGCTTGTCCACGTGGAAATGGAGTCATAAGGTAGGGCCTACCACAAGGAAGTGCAGCACATACTGTCACAGGGAACCAGTGATCCTCTTGTTCAAAAACAGATGCATTCACTTAATTGCAAAAGCCATTACTACCAGGGTCAGGCATGAACCATCCGTTATCTGCAAGCTGCCCTTCGTGTAGTGGAGGAGATCAGATGTATGCAGAAGTGTACATTTAGGCGAATGTAACATGTGCTGTGTAAACACAGAGGAAAGAGGAGGCGAATGCATGTCCTGCAGAGGCAGGCCAGGCAGTGAGGAGCCCAAGCAAACCCGGCACAGGCAGCTGGAGCACAGCTAAAGACCTTGAGAAGCAGCCTCCTGACCATTGTGTTCCTACTTTTTAAAAATCGCCTTTGAAGAAGATGCAAAGAAGTACACAGAATAAAAACCATCCAGACTTCCGTGGCCCAGAGAAGAGGGCTGTGAGCGTCGAGGCAGGCTGTCTTCGACTGAGCTCACTATGGGCAGTGGAACAGAGCAGATTCAAGACGCCACTGCTGCCGGGCGGGGGTGGAGAGCAGTTGCTGTGGGTCATCTGAACTCTGCCCCCATACCCTTAGCCCAGTGCACTTAAAAAAAAATACCCATGTCCCTCTGATAAACCCAAAGCAGCTTGCTTCCGTGGCGGCTGTGTAAGCCAGGCTGTGTGCCCTTCGCTGGCTGTGCTCTGAATTGAGTTCAGAGCTGAATCCCCGTGAGAAAGATGCTCAGCTCCTCGAGGGGGCAACGTCCTTTCTGTTTCTGCTCATGAGCTAGCAGAGGCGGCTGAGCCTGTGCGCGTGCCCTATAGGCTAACATTCCTGGCCCTTGCTTTGAAATACTCCTTTTTGTCCAAAAATGGAGATGTCGAGGATAGGATTTTTAAAAGTTCAAATGCTAAGAATTAAGAGGGAAGTTTGTCTTTGCTTTTGTCTTCTTCCTCTAACAGGGGAATCATGCCATAGGTTGCCGTTTTGTACCTTGATTTCCCCCCAAAAAATGTGTCATTGTCATTCTGCATCAACACTTTGACATTATGATTCAGGTCACCAGGCACTTACGGTCCCACCAATTTGTTAGGCCAAAAAAAAAATCCACCTTGATTGGTTTGGGTTTGGGGAGTAAATTTTGTTGACGTCCAGCAGACAAAAACATGCCAGTCATAAGTGTGCAGCTTAAAGAGCAGCAGCCAGGCCAAGAAACAGACTACTCCCAGGACCCAGAGGCCACCCTGTGCCCTGCAGCCCATGTCGCTCTTCGTTCTGCTCCCTGTGGAAGGGGTCGTCCTGTTAAGTGGAGTAAAAGAGCTTGCTGGTGACATTCTGGAAGTTGCTTCTTAGATCATGTCTACAATCACTGTGCGGGTTCCTCATCACCAGGGGAGGGAGGGGGCATATGGGTTAAGTGCAGCGCATGTGCTGAAACCTCCCACCATAGCTAAACGGGGTGGGGTGGGGGGTGTCACAGCAGAGTCCACAGCCTGGCTGCTGTTATGTACTTGGTAGGGATTTTAGTGCCTCTGGGTCAGGCACTGTGATTGGGAAAAGATAAGGCATCTGACTTTTCCTTGAAATAATGAATCTGATGGAGACAAGTGTAAGCATTTAACTTTTAGATCAGTGCAGCTGGAGTGCATATTCTTTGAATAAGCAAGATTGTAAAGACCCAGGGCTAGAAGCTGGCCTCTGCTGGAAGCTTCTGGTATGACTGAGAGGAAACAGTTCTGTCTTCCCTGGTGGCTGCTAGGTTCTTACTCAGCTAAAGCCTGCTTGCCTCTAGCTTTTTCTGGCAACTTGTCATTTCGCTCTTCTTAGGCTGTGTGTGCGCTGCCGTGATGGCAAATCTTTCGTAACAAAGTCGGAGGTGGTCTGGGGGATAGACTAACAGCTGATTACTAAAATGAAATATGCATACGCTAGTTCACTCAGGTTGGCCTCATCTAAAGGTGGTGAGGTCAAATCCTGGAGCCTAACCTCCAGTGAGAGAGAGTAACTGGCCGCTCTGTTTCTCTTCAGGAATCGACAAGGAGAACGTTGAACTCTCCCCGCCCACTGGCCACTGTAACAGTGGACGCACTCGACATGGATCCGCAAGCCAAGTGCAGAAGCAAAGAAGTGCTGGCAGTTTCAAACGTAATAGCATTAAGAAGATCGTGTGAAGCTTTCTTTCTCTCTTTTTTTAAACAGACTTAACACACATGGGCTCTTCACTAGTGACCCCTTCCCCAGCCCTCCCCTGTCACCACGTTGTGATGCTGCATTTCTTGTTCCTCAGTGAACTCACCCCGTCTGCCAGGTTGCCGGATGATCAACTTTTGGAAGCATTGCCTACATTTAATGCTTCTCTTTCACTTTTTTCCCTTCCACTTTTGCTGTGTGTCTGGTTTTAGCAAGTATTCGGAACAACGGCGAAGGATGTTGGGAGGTCAGGAAGCTTGGACTGAGAACATCCCAAATGTGAGAGAGAGGACAAATCCTGAATACTGCTACAACCAGCCAGATAGGAAAGCCATTTGCACAGAACTCTGCCTTCTCTATGGTCCCTCCCCTTCTTCATCATGCACAGTAAAGTGTTAGTCTTATTATACACTTTCCCAGAGAGAAGTCTATGGGAGAAATAATACTATAACCCCAGTATGCTTAATCCGACTTTTAGCTGTGGACTTTTTCTTACCTTCTAAAAATTTAAGGAACCTTAGGGGTCAGTCCTGAGTAACTTCCCAACACAAAGCCACAGGCAAGGTACTCTGGGGGTAGGGTTTTTTAGTGCGTTCTTAAGAATTATTAACACTTGCGTATGAGCAATAATAACAGGAAATTAAGAGTAACCACATCTATTTTAACATTGCAAATCAAATCTATGAGTCCTGAGGCCTTATCCAAACTCAAGTCACCCAAACTCGGTTATTATTATTTCTTTTTCCAAGATGATTCTCTCATCGTCTTTTATATGCCGACAGGTTGTTTGCTGGTGTGGGGTGGGTGGATGGATGGACTTTTGTCGTCCTTTGGGTTGGGTTGGGTTTGCCACATAGACCGAGTCTAATAAGTCTGCACTTTGCCCTCCACTTCTTCGTTCCTAAGTACATCTGAGCAGGGTAGTGAATGAGCACAGTGGTGGCAGACGCCCTGAGAAGGGAGTTGTCCTGGTGTGTACATTTGCTCCCCAGCAGAACAGAATGGTACGCGGCTGTAGAGTAGCTGATACTGTCATTTGTTACTTACTTTTTGAAGAAACGTAAGAATATGGTGTATAGTATCAAAAATTTCTTGGATAAGATATATTTTAAATGTCTTGTACTCCAATACCCCCATGCCCCCACCACCACCACACACAATCAGGAATCTCTTTAGCAAAGCATTTGGGTTCTATAGGCTAGAATTGCTTTAATCACTGTGAAAAAAGACTGGTCAGCCTGCAGTAGGAGACCGTTAGAGTTGCTGCTATGCTGAATGGAATGGATGATTACTATGGAGTTTCCATAGCAATGCAGATCCAACTTCCTTGTGGTACCTGCAGTGTGCAAAATTAATTTGACTTCGGTGAGTATATTAGTATCTGGGTATTCCAATTTAGAACTAAACCATATTTATGACAAAAGGCAATTAGCCTCCTAGTCCCCCAGTTCCGTGTCAGTGTTGGGAAGTGCTAAGGGCTTTCGGCCGGCTGGGGGAGGGGAGAGGGCCAGGCAGTGCTGTTCCTTCGGGATTCCGGAAATTAAATGCCACAGCGAAATCAATGATGAATGGTACATAGAAGTGTTCTGATGTTAACAATATAACATATTTCACGTTTATCCACACAGTAACAATGTAACATGTTAATGTAAATAAAATTGCTTTTGATATTCAGAAATAACAAGAATTTAATTTTTTGAATTTGTTTACAGTCCTGGGAAAAGCAAGAACCGTGTTTTTTTTTTAAACAATTGGAGCGGCTGCATTCGGATGGAATGTTTCTAGTAACAAAGCAACCGCGACTCCATAGTTAGTGAGGCAGAAGTGAGCGCGATTAGACCGTAGCCCCGGCCACGTGCGCAGGCTGCCGGGGTCTCCTCTGGTGCAGTCTCCCCGCGGCGGCGCGCAGCACCCACCCGGCTCAGGGTTTGGTGCCCATGACGGTGGGTGCGGCTGTGCTCTTGTGTTTCTCCCATCAAAACAGGGAAACTTTCAGAATGTTTACTCTTAAAACTGGTGAGGAGCCATGGTGGTAGTGGTGGCGCGTTGGGCGGCCGTCCCACCAAAGACGAGCTTTCGGCTCCGTCAGAATCGCAGCCCGGAGCGGCCCGGCGGTTCTCCCGTGCCCGTGGGGTTGCCGCTCGGCCCCGGGCTTGGTTTGGGTGTCCGCAGCCGGTCGGAGTGTGCTGTGGGCGCAGCCAGCCTCGCCCTCGAGGGCTGCAGGGGACCGGCCTAGAGCCGCCTGCGACATGCTCACCAGTGCCCCTGGGAGTACGGTTTGCTTTACCTTGTTCAGCGTTCTTCCCACTGAGGGACACCCATGGAGCGTCTGCGGGACCGACGGACACCAAGAGCTTGCCTGGATGCTGCCCCCGGAAAAGGAGCCTTTCAGGCCTTAGGCTGTAGTCTACAAAAGAAATTCCGAAACGCGGAGCAGTTGCCCATTTCGCATCAGTTGGTGTATGTTCTTTTACAAAAACCATTGTAAGTCGTTCGTTTCCGGTTTGTGGCCTTGCCCCTGGCTGCTTTTAAGCGGGGCAAGTGACAGCCGAGTTTCCCTCTCTCAAGCCGTCCGTCAGTCCGTCCTCCCAGGGAAGAGCTGTGCCTGCACTGCTTCCCTCCCTCCGCTGATGGGGCCCCGACCTTGGACCCAGGAGAGACCCAGGGTGGATGGAAGCCCCAGCTAGCCATTCGCGTCTGTGAAGTTTGGGGCTGTTTCCATTTCTTCTGCTATTGTTTTGGGTTTGTTTCTTTGTGTTTTTTACATCACCCCCCCACTCCCCAGGTGTAACGACGCATGTCTTTTTCAATGTTATGCAATGAACTTATACAAAATTCTCACTTCGTGTCAGCCACGCCATTTTTTTAATGCAGTGTATTCACCTGTAAATAGATTGTGTAAAATTTGACAGAAAAGTATATTTACTACACTGTAAATACATGTGATGATATATTGTATTATTTTGCTTTTTTGTAAAGCAGTTAGTTGCTGTACATGGATAACAAACAATTTGATTATTCGCGTTAGTCATGTTAACTTCTTCCTGCAACCGCGTTACATCCGTTACAGAAAACGCTGTGTATTGTAAACTGACCTTGCGTATGATGACTTCCGTCCCTGCCCAGCCGGCCTCAGTGTGGGCGCTGGCCTTGTCTACAACCTTGTTAATATTGTAAGCAGTTGTGCGCCCGCAGGAGGAGGACCGCCCGACAGACACGCGTGGGAATCGTGGGGGAGTCACAGAAGGCCTTTCAGGTCGCCGTTGTTCCCGCCCGTGTATGTACTCCCTCCCTTTTTTTAAGTAAAATGGAACTCCAATCTGCTCACAGGTGTGGGGAGTGGTTTAATTTCTTCACATGCACGCTGGTTTCTCACTTCCCCCAAATCCCTCTGTGGACTTAAGGAACTAAAAGACCATTTCCTTTTTTTTTTTTTTTTTAAAGAATGAGGCTTTTGGGGTCCCAGTCTCTAAACCAAAAGTGAATTTGGTGAAATGCTTTTTGAAGGCCTGCCAGACTCAGCTGTGACTGTTTTCTGGGGTCAGCGAACTTGACTCTGAAGTGATTCGTCAGTCAGAAATCCCCAAGACTGCCCAGAGGGGTTTGTCAGGACCCCCAACCATCGCCACCCTTCTCAGCACAACATTCCACATGGGAGCTTGGGGCAGCCCTGTCCCTTGCTCAGCTGCTATGAGACTTACTCTTATTTAGCTCCAGGATGGGGCCTGTAAGTAGACTGGAGAGAGACTCCAGCCCCAGATCCTGTGAGCAGGAAGGAGCTGCCCCCAGGAGAAGAGCCCAGAGAAGGTGCCCCGCCTCCAGTGACAAACTGCCGCAGGTCCAAGGCTGGGTTGGTCCGTGTGGTAGAAGGTAGCAGGAGATGCACTGTGTTTTGGAGAGCTGGGCCCTGGAGGACAACTCCAGGGATGGGGCGCCCGGATTGGAGATGGGGTGCACATGTGCACATAACACATAGGCATGTATATTTAAAGGGTCCAGGGCCGCTTCATACATTTTTCCTAAAAGGTTATACTACTCTGTCCACAAAATCAGACTTGAAGACATTCCTAAGTTCTTTACCACGAGTGTGGTGCTGGCAGTCAAGCCAGTGGTGGTACAGAGAATGGGGTGGGGGAGGTGGGGGTTCCAGAATTTGGAACTCCGTGACGGGGCAGTGCCTTCACATGAAACAAGCAACACTGGGCTGTTTTTACTGGGGTCCTCCTGCACAGAGAGCTTGGCCCAACTCACATGTTTTTAAGGAAAGCAAATGTCAGTAGATGTAGCCTCAGCTCACTCATTGGTGCAGAAACATTTTCCGTTGGCTATATAAGGGGGTGCCTCCCCAATATGGGAATAAGCTCTGCTGGGCGGAGCTTTTGCATGAATTTTCCCACCCAGTGGCATTGCCTGGGAAGGTCTCTGGTCACACTGAATTTTTTTCGTGAAAACAATTTTGCTCGAGCCTTGTTTTTTGGGATGGCTGAATTAAGAGAACTGCATTTGACTGAAATTTGGCTTCCTGCTCAGAAAAAATGTGGCAGGAACTGTGGTGTCGCACACTGCTTACAGAGACAGCGTATGGGGAAAACTCAAGTGTCCAAGTGGCTTTCTCTTTTCAACATGGTGAAATGTCGATTGATGATCAACCTCATTCTGGACATCCGTCAACTTCCTGAATGGACAAAATTGATGCACTTGTGCTCGAAGACTGACGACAGACCGTTGAAGAGATGGGAGGTTATCCGGACTATATTGGAGCTCAGTTTAACGAATTGTAATGGAAGATTTGGGAATGTGAAGATTTGGGAAGCAAATTGTAATGGAAGATTTGGGAATGTGAAAGGTCGCAGCAAAATGTGTGCCTCGGTTCCGCGCTTTGAACAGCTCCGAAGCAACCCAGGCTTTTTTCCTAAGGTCAGTACTGGTGATGAGACATGGTGCTATTTTGACAACCCCAAAACCAAACATCAGTCAAGCCAGTGGAAGATGCCGTCACCTCACCCCAAAAAGCTTGTCGAATGAAATCACAGATCAAGGTGATGCTCATTTGTTTTTTTGATGTGAAGGGGATAGTGCATTTGAAGTTCGTGCCACCAGGTCAGACGGTTAGTCAAGCTTTCTATTTAGAGGTTTTGAAAAGATTGCCTATCAGCATGTGACAAAAAAGGCCTGATTTGTGGCAGACGGGGGACTGGTTTTGCCACCACCACAATGCACCTGCTCACGCAGCAACCTCGGTTCTCCAGTTTGGGGCTGAAAACAGCACGCTTCTCGTGCCCCACACACCTTACCTGACCTCGCTCTGTGCATCTTTTTTATTCTGCCAGTGAAGAGGGACAAGAAAGGACAGCGATTTGACGACATCAAGAGGTAAAGAAACGAGGGAGGTGCTGTCAGCCATCCAAGCAGATGAGTTTGAAAAATATTTTCAAGAATAGAATCGTAGATTTGACAAATGTAAGGAGTGTCGTGGGGAGTATTTTGAAGGTGATAGGCTGTTTTGCTTAAAAGTTTAGGTAGTTCTGGGGGGGAAATTCCAGTTTTAGGGGGACCCCCTTGTAGTTGTGCCAGTCTCTATGCTGGGTGTTATGGGTACAAAGAAGAGTGTGGCCTCGCCCCCCACGAGCTCACGGCCACATGCGGACAGCGTCCCTGGGGCCGGGTCTCAGGAAGGCTAGAGAAATGGCTACATTTGCAGGTGGAGGAAGGGCCAGAGAGCAGTTGGAAGTCAGTTTTCAGTCCCCAGGAAGTCAGTGAGGCTGTGGGGGCTGCCAGGGAGCAGACGAAGCAGAAGAGGCCGGGCAGAAGGCAGCTGGTTGCCAAAGAAACTGGCTGCTTATGTCCCTTAGATTCTTGTAATCAGTTCCCCCTTTCCACCCCACATTCCCTTCACCCTCCAGGCCTCGCCCCTCTCACTACTGGTCCTGAAGGAGTCATCTGTCCTGGATTCCCTGTGTGTCCAGTTGCTATCTGTACCAATGTACATCCTCTGGTCTAGCCAGACTTGTAAGGTAGAATTGGGATCATGATAGTGGAGGGGAGGATGCATTCTTTTGTCTTCTCTGGGAAATACAAGGGTAAGTCCAAAAAGCATTGCTACAGAGTCACAGAAAGCTTTATCAAACCACATCACAGAATGTGAAGTGGCCACTTCTCTAGGTGTGTACGTTCTGAAGGCAGTGTCCCCCACTCTCTCCCTTCCCAGAAGTCTCTGCTCCTCGGTTCACCCCAGCAAAACAGCAGCGTCTGCGTCGTTGAGGACTCCATTCATGTCCCTCTTGGGCGTCTTCAAGTCTGGAAGCACAAGTCTGAAGGGACAAGCTCCAGGCCGCGGAGGGCGGGCGGGGAACCCTGGTTTCCATTGAGAGCGTCAAGGGCAGCCCTTGCTGCCCTCATGGGATGAGCAGGTGCTTCCACGCACCTCGGGGCCTTTTCTCCAGCGTGGTTTTCGGTTTTCTTAAAACTCCTCTGTGATGGTCTGGTGCCTTTCAAGTGACTGTCAACGTTACCCTTTTGCAATCCCAGAGAGTCGTCTCCCTAACACTGAGCCGACCTTTCTGCCTTGAATTTAAGTGGCCCGCAGATCCCCTGAGAAAGCACTGTTTTGATAGGCCTTTTTAAAAAAATTATTTTATTGGGGGCTCATACAATTCTTATCACAATCCATACATACACCCATTGTGTCAAGCACATATGTACACTTGTTGCCCTCATCATTCTCAAAACATTTGCCTTCCACTTTAGCCCTTAATATCAGTTGCTCATTTTCCCCCTCCCTCCCCACTCCCCTTCCCTCATAATTCATATCTTATTATAGTTTTGTCATAAGTCACACTGTCCGACGACGTCACCCCCCGCCCTCTTCTCTGCTGTCCCTCCCCCAGGGAAGAGGCAATACTTAGATTCTTGTAATCAGTTCCCCCTTTCCACCCCACATTCCCTTCACCCTCCAGGCCTCGCCCCTCTCACCACTGGTCCTGAAGGAGTCATCTGTCCTGGATTCCCTGTGTGTCCAGTTGCTATCTGTCCCAATGTACATCCTCTGGTCTAGCCAGACTTGTAAGGTAGAATTGGGATCATGATAGTGGAGGGGAGGATGCATTTAAGGAAGCATTTAAGAGCTAGAGGAAAGTTACATGTTTCATCATTGATGCTCTGCACCCTGATTGGCTCGTCTCCTCCCCACAACCCACAACAAGGGGGTGCCCAGTTGTCTACCGATGGGCCTTGAGTCTCCACTCTGCACTCACCCACCTTTACAATGATATTTTTTTGTTCTTTGCTGCTTGATACCTGATCCCTTCGACAGCTCGTGGTCACACAGGCTGTTGTGCTTTTTCCATGTGGGCTTTGTTGCTTCTGAGCTAGTTGGCCGCTTGTTTATCTTCGATAGGCCATTTTTTAAGGCACCTTAATGAGGCCCATGAAAACCCTCTGCAAACAAGATTCCAATTCATAGAGCCTCCCCCCTCCCCCACTAGAATGGAGTTGAACTGCTCCTTTGGGTTTCCAAGCCTGCAAGTCTGTGGCAGCACACGGCCTCTGTCCTGTGGAGCAACTGCTGGCCTTGAATTGCCAACCTTGTGGTTAGCAGCCTTCTCTCTACTGCCTCACAGGACTCCTTAGCCAGACTGCAGATGAGGGTATTTCACTCGCTCCCCGCAGAGCAAGATTGAACAGTGTTTGTTTGGAATAAACCGTGACTGTGAGCTGGAGCCTCAGTCGCCACACTGACCTCCTGTGACCTTACTGCCATAGAGTATTCTGCCTCTTTGCAGCCCTTTGCAGCAGGGTGGCACTCTCCCCGTGTGCTTCTAAGATGGAACTCCAAAGCCTTGTCTTCCTCTCTCGGATCGAGCAGTTGGTGGTTTGGAACTGCTGACCTTGGGGGTTAGCAGCCTAACGTGTAAGTACATGAGAACCCTCCTTTGTCCCCCAGACAGACAGAAATTGGGGTACCATCTAGCCCAGCAATTCTAAATGTCCTGGGTGAGCCCCAAAGTCAAAAGTAGGACCAGCAGCAGTGAGTAAGGCTCCCTTCCCTCTCGACCACCCAGTGGGTGCCGACTCGGAGCGGCCCTGTAGGACAGGGTAGAACTGCCCCCGTGGGTCTGAGACTACAAGACTCCTCTTTCTTCTGAGGAGCGGCTGTGGTTTCTCACAGACCTGATGTATCCCACTATGCCACCGGAGCCCTGAGGCTCCCTCCCTCGCTGACTGGAGGGAGAGCAGGAGAAATGGGTGGTCCACTCCGTACTGTCACCGCACACCTACACTTCTCTGAGACTCCAGGAGACAAATTCCAAAACCAAAATGTCAA